TTACATAAAGTAGAGATTAAAGGACGGCACATGTATTAACCAGACATGTATCATATACATATATGTGTGACACATATTCATACGTTAATCTGTGTATCTTTTATTATCTGATTATCTACAGTTTCACGTACATTTATATTCGTATAAATATTTATACGATAATCGACCTGTTGGCATCGCTGGGCCCATAACCAATGAAGTGGGAAGTCACAACAGGTCGTAGTACTAGTATTAGGCTTTATTATAATGATAATATAACTTATAATAGAAGATACACAAAAACTATTCTTAACATTTTGATACGGATGCGAACACGCGAATCGCACGAGGTAAGACGCGCTAAATCGACGCTACGCTGTTCAAAGACGCCAGCGCCACCAGTGGTGGGCATCAGGGAAACGCAAACCCTTTCAATAATTATATATTTATTTATATATGCATATGTATTAATTCTCAAATGACGGATAACTTGACTATTCGCACAATACATGGATCTATTGAAGATCTATTAAAATTTGTTAAATTACAGATCCACAAAGTTCTCTAAAATCCGAAATCTCCAAATACGCAATTTCTCGAACTTCCGAATTTTTAAATTTTCTAAATTATCAATCTCTCAAATTTCCATATACCTAAATTTATATAATACATTTCAAATTTCCAAAATTTAGAAATTCAAAATTGCCTAACTCCCATATCATCAATTGTTTAAGTCCGGAAATGTTCAAATCCCCAAATTCTCAAATTATTTTATTCCCAAATCCTTAAATTTGTAAGTCTCAAAATTCCCAAATCCCTAAGTTACTCAGTCTCCCAATTCTCAAATGTTCAGAACTTTAAATTTCAATTTCCCTAAACACTCAAATTATCAAAAGATCATATTTTCACGTGCCAAAATTTTCAAAGTCCCAATTCTCAAATTCCAAATTTCAAATGTTCCAGTCCATATGCTCTTAACCCATTCAAGGCCGATTGCACACCGTGTGTTTAATCCGCTCCTGGCAATAAAAATATTCTCAGTAAACTAGTTTAGTTTATTAAAAATTAATAATATAAAGAAAAAAAATCGCTCCTGGAGACCGTGTTCGAAATAAATCGCCGTCTTGAATGGGTTAACTTTTAAATTTCCAAATTTTGAAATTTTACAACTTTGAAATTTCTAGCTCAAGAGACTTTGAACACAATCGATGGAGAATTAGAAATCATTCAAATTAAAATACGGATACGGTTACTACACATTTATTTAAACATACACAAAGTAATGTAACTAAGCTGCTTAAATATAGATGCACTTTCGATCAAACATCTATCTATGAAATTAAAATGCAGGATGAGAGAAAAGTTGCAGTGAGAAGCACAGCATCCAAGCCTTTCTTTCACGACGGTGTCAAAAATAGTCAAATATTAATATTAATTACAGAAAGTTCCTTCAATATATGGTTCTATACATCCTACGAAATGAAAAGGTATAGCGATTATTTTTTCAGAAAATGGTAGAATAGTTAAAAAAATGCGCTGATAAGGTAACAATATTATCAACGTTAGTTATATAGTTGCAACTTTTCCATCTCGCTTTTTTCACTTAACAATCTATTCGTATGACGATCGTTTAAAAATTCATATTGTATTCTAAATAAATATTCTATGTTTAAATATTATTATATACACACAATTAAATTTTTCTTTCGGCATAATATAACTTCAATTAAATTTGATGTGACAAAGGTGCATTTGATTTGCAGAAGGCCAATTTGATCTATAAAAAGATGAATAAAATCCGCAAGAATATTAATAAGATCAGCAGTATTTGGAGCATAACAAAGTGAATATAATTCGCAAAAGAATTAATTTTGAGTGCAAAAGTTGTATCAAAATGACCCAAAGTACGATAAAATGGTTGCCACATATGAGTAGCAACTAATTATTGTACTTGCGCATGGGTCCAAGTATCACATCGAATCCCTGCAAAACATTTAACTCTATTTTAATAGCGAAAATGTATCTAAGTTTTGAATAAGAGTATAATAGAATAAAAAAGTGTTCATTGAATCGATTAGGTTGTAACATACGATTCGTTCGGTCATCATTGTATATGTACATATATTGCGTTTCTCTTTTAACTGATTGTTTACTTCACTATCGTCATAATGATGACGATGAATGATGATCATGACGAATTCACCAGCACTTAATTTCAAGCTAACACTACTATTAATCAAAATTTCTGCCAAATAAAGAAAAGTACTGAAGTAAGTATTGAATTTATCCAAACGAATTGTTGTTACGTTACAATCCAATATATAATTTGATGTTCACTGTAGTGAATACTTCAAGATTCTTTTGCGACAGTACATTCACAATCATCCATTCTGTTTAAGTTATCAGCATAACTGTGATCATTTTAAGTAATCACGATCACTTAAATTCAAGAAGAAATTCATAATCGTAACTTAAATTGGTACTTCAATTGTAACAAACAACACTCAATGATTAATAACTGTTAAGTCATGCAAAAACTGTAACGATTTTGACTTTTTACTTTACCTATTTGCATATGTTGCAAACAAAAAATTTGCAGCAGTCTTTATAATAACGATTATTTTGATCCGCTTATAGTAATTTATTATCACTGTTATCATTTACAGGATAAATAATTATTGTTTTTTGATTTATTAAAAAAGAATCATTGTGCTATAAAAAAATTTATAATAACAATTTTCACGAAATTTAAATTTTTATTATTATTTTTCATTATTTTAACTCTTATTAAACATTAATGTGCAATAATTCATGTAAAAAGTACTGACTATCTGTTTCTATATGATTAATTTTCGAAGAAACTATCATACGATGGAAATGAAACGGACAAACTTCAGCTATATCAATGCGTTTTCACGATGATGATGCAGTTATCTTATCGTATTTTTCATAATTACCTATCATTCCCCATGAAAATCGCTACTATAATTTTGTTTCTTAAAATATGTCGAATCATGCTACAGTGCATATTTCATTTGTGATAATAGAAATTTATTTCCCATTATAGTAAAAAATTTAATTAAATTGTAATTAAAATCAACCACTCTGCATTGCATTCAGATTAATGTTCAATAAACATTTTATCAAAATTTTTAATATTAAGTAGATGATTCTTTGATGGAACAAATAACGAGTTAACTATTTTTCACTTATTTTTTTAATATTAAATATTTAATTATTAACTATTTTATTAACGAAATTTATTAATATGTAATTTTATCATTTTTATACATTTATTAATACACGATATTCATAAATGTGTTAAAACAATTTATTAATAAAGTGTTATAATTAAGTTATAATTAAATATAATTAGTTAAGTATAATTAAGTGTAGTTAAGTGTATGCATATATTTATAGTTAGGAATAAATAAGTCATAATTAAGTATAATATACTTATTTCAGATTCCGTGTCTCCAATTTTATTCTGTTACACGAATTTTTATACAATTTACATAATTTATAATTATTATTCCATATCCTAAAAACTCTTTCTTCGCAAAGTAAAAAATGCGCCTCAATTCTATTGATGATTAGGAAAATTATGTAAAACAAAATTCTAAAGAATTGAACGATTCGCTTATATTTAATTATATCAATTCATTTTTTGTGTATATTGTTAATTACGGAATGGTAAGAAAGTATTACGAAAAAAATTTACAGATAAAATGGATGACGAAATTGGGCATTATATAACTAAACGACTATTAATAACTGCATTATATAATTAAACTCACTTTTATTTTGATAATCACAGTAGATACTCTGATAATAACGATTTAAATCAGTTGCGTCATAATTATTTCTTCATTTCATCATTTATTCTCATTTTTATTGACATATATTATATTACTTACCATAATTATTTATTACATATTTTTTTATTATATTTTATCATATTTATATTGATTTAAGGAATTTATTTAACATTTTTATATAGTAATACTTATAAAAATATGTAATTTGAACTACTGAATATGTAATCATATAATTATTGAATATGTAATCATTAATTATTGAATGGTGTACATGTATATTAAAATGTACGTAATTGATGGTATCCAGGAAACAAAAACAAACGGAAGTGTATATGTCTTAAGTTACTTACATAAAATTTCAGTATCGAGTCGGTTACAAACCAACAATATTCAGACATGATCATTTTGTTTATTTTACAATAATAATATTGCAATTTATCAAGAACATTTTAAAACTTTCAAAGCAACCAAAATTAAATCATTCATAATCCAAAACCAATAACATTTGAAAAATAGTTACACATGAACAACGAAGTTAAGTAACACTTTGGATATTTAAAAAATTATAACGAATAAATAAACATAGTTATAAACCGGAAAAATAAATCGATACATTCCGTCGTTTGTAACAATGTTATTGTTATTGGTATAAGTCACTTGTTAAATATATCATTAATTTTGAAAATAGTATAAATCATTTAAGATAAAAACAGTCCTTACAATGTTGTAGTAAATTGAACTAATTTCTCAATAAAGTTGTGCATCCCAAAGCAAGTTTCTCTCTATCAACATTAACACACTAAATTAAACATTTGGAAATAAAAAAACATCACTTGCTTTTATAACCACTAAGACAGTTATTTCTTGGCTGACAAAAATATAGTCTATTATTTACATCAGCGTTGGTTATTTGAGATCCGTTTAATATTTATTGTATCTGTTGAATACTACACGCCACGCGCATGATACAGATGATTCAACAAAATTTTGTCAAACAGAACAACTGCTAGATTAAGTTGTCAAAATGTGACGATTTACGATGACTCAATAAGAAATTATGAAAAAACATGTTTTGGATGCATATCTATAAACAAACCAACTTCTCACGTGTTAACTAGATAAATTTCGATTTTATGTATAGATACTCTCCAATAATAAGTTGCAAGTCATGTTGTCAGTTAAAGATAATGTCTGAGGAACATCAATAGGTTTATACGTCCACTTCGAACAAGATCGTTAGTCATTCCACAGTGAGGCAGCGTTATAAGAACGATATATAGTTTCGCAGTTCATTTCTTTTCGATTATGTCTACTGAAGTTTTGGTTTGAACAGTGATTCCACCATATCAGCAGTGAATTTTAATTTCAATTTGCAATGATGGCTTTTCCGATATTAGAAGTTATTGCATTAGCTGCTGTGATATTATTTCTACTTTATTACTATTTCACATCGGCTTTGCAATTTTGGGAAAAACGAGGCGTGAAGGGACCGAAACCTATTCTATTTCTGGGCAATTTTAAGGATGTGTTTCTCGGAAAAGTTTCGATCAACGATTGTTTGGTCAAAGTTTACAATGACTTCAAAGATGAACCGATGGTTGGAATTTTTGGTGGTCACATCCCGCACCTAGTTTTGAGGGACCCAGACTTAATCAAAGATGTTCTTATTAAAGACTTTCCAAACTTCGTTGACAGATTAGTAACACCTAATAAAGTAAGTTTAGATCATAGTTTTTAGTCAAGAAAATACATTTAACTCGTTTTTTTTTTTAATTTCAAATATAATATATGTACAATGGAAGTTAATTATTATACATTTATGCAATTTATATTTGAATTCATTTGTGCACATCAAATATGTAATTTTATACTTATTATACTATTATTATATCTTGTTTTTTATCAAAATCATGAATTAAAATGCGTTGATTCGTATTTTAATACATGCACATTTTGGTATCCGGCTAATAACATTTGATATTCATTATCGTTTCATATTTATTAACATATCTACATGTTAAGTCGGATTATTTTTAATAGATTAGCACCCATGTATTTATATACTTTTACAGCGCATTATAACTGCCATAAACAAAATTTCACTAATTATAATATAACGATTAAAATACGTAATAAAATAATTTTGGTTACGAATAATTATTATGAATTATTGTACATTTCTTCTTAACACCAATAATTACCAATGACAGAAATAATTTTGATCAAAATTTTAGTTGGATTACTGATAGCTGTTATCGATGACTAAAAATATTTTTTTAATATCCCCTAATCAATGGCACAGCAAAAATTTGTATCGTTATTAATTGTTACGTTATTGTTATAATTGTTATTAACATCTTTACAAGAATTTGTCTATTCGTCGACCTATTTATGTTTCTTCTTATATTTTCATGTCAATTGTTATATTAACCATAAGCACATAATTTTTCCGTGTGATTTGTTGAAATATGAAGTATGTCATCTTTTTATTATTATTTATATGGGAATTACGCTTGGGAATTAGTTTTATGAATATTAAAGCATTAGGTATTAATAATATAAATATTTATAATACTTAACATAAATAGGACATAAGACAAAATTTTTGACGTCGGTATCTGTTAAACGGTAATAAAAAAACACTTCTCGCCGTCGATAATAGCTATCATCAACCTAAATATCATTCTAGTTATTCATGACGATTAGTTTTAATAAAAAAGGTTACGGATTACAATTTACGTTAGTGATCTTTCTGGTATTAATTGTAATATCACAATTTTAAATCCCATAATTTCTCAAATTTTATAATCAGTTTAAAAGACATAAACACTATTCATGAAAGTTGTTATTATCTTACGAAATATTCAGTTCGAACAAATTAAATGTGTAACTTAAAACGAGTATGTAAAAAATTTTAATCCTATTTAAACTTTGAGAATCATTTTATGATGAGCCTACTATATCGGTATAATGAAATATAAAATGGTTAGAATTATACTTATTAAAAATAGTTGATATGCAAATGTTTTCGTGGTAAATTAAATACACGGTAATTATTTACTACTGTATAACGGTTCCTCACTGATTTTGATTCTTTTGAAATATCGTGGTCAAGGTCACTAGTCTGATTAACTGTTCTGTATACATACATGTATAACTGCTCAGTTATATGTATGCTGTTTTTTACATGTCATTCTCTATACTAACAACCTTCGTTCCCTTCGAGATAGTAAAAAACCTTGATCAAGTTTTACATTGTAATTATACTTGATTCTGACGTGTGTTCATTTATCTCATATAGCACGTCGTAACCTAACCTAATAACTTAATTACATTGTCCACTTATCGACAAAGGTACGTTATATCAGATTAATAGTCCTGAAGAACGTGAAATCTTGATTGTATAAAATTAACATGGTTAGGTTAGTAAATATCATGAAAGTATTACATAACATTATGTTTAGAAATAGCTAGAGTTGAGGAACTTGGCGAGTTTGTTCAGTATTTACAGTTGTATTTTGATTATGCTGTCTTCAGTGATTATCGTGTGTCTCATTAGGAATACATGAAATGAAGTTATATGTATTTTTGGATGTATATAATGATTATAAGAAATTTATAGATTGCTGAACTTCACGAGAAGTGGTCCACGATGCTGTAAATTGCATTAAGCGTGGGATGAAATGAAATTTAACCAAGGACACTTAATCCATGTTATTTAACATCTCATATTTGAAGTCGAAATAAAAAAACGTCTTAACGAGCAATACAATTTAAAGATTACTGCATACGAACATTCTTGGTTTGAACAATCGCACCTTTCTATTCAAACTGTCTGTCATTTTATTCCATTCCATGTAATGATAGACCATCACAAATTATTCTAAAAAATGAACTTCATCTGGCATTAAAAATTGTTAACTACGAAAATTTGTGCCTAGAGTTACACGTTTTATGGTATGAACCACAGTCTAAGTCGGAGATGAAAATGTAATCTTTGATATCAACAAGTTAACATCGGTAACTGCAATTATAATGAAGGACGTCTTCTTAGTGTATAAATATTTATCTTCAACTTAACGCAAGGCTAAATAAAATTATTTTTGCGAATAGTTCGAAAACGAAGGCCGTACAGCGGTAACATCTGTAAAGAAAAAATATTCAGAACAATAAACTTGACAATATATTTCAAGATCATCAAAATCGGTAAAGAATTGCAAAAGTAACTAATTATCATCACTCAGATGCTATTACATGTGCTATAAATGTTCATGTGTGTCATGTACTTACATTATCTAATAATGATAGGATAAGGTTAGAAACTAATAAATTCTGAAACGATTGCGATAAAAATAAACGTAATACAGATATCGCTTAAATAACATGGTTGATTGAATCCGAGCTATTCGAAACGAGGTATTTCCTGTAAACAAGTTCTTTTCTACTCAATTCACTGTATGGTACACCTTATGTCAAAGTCGCTCTCATGAATGACCCTTAGAAGGTTTTAGCCGTCGCTCGTTTTTATTAAAAATTTATTAATATTACATTACAATCCGCATATACGTGTACTGAATGTGACCTTGACGTTCACACAAGTTATGAAGATCACACTCCTAAATATCTCCTGAGAAGTTTTAGCTGCCTCTCGCTTTTTAGTAAAAAATGTATAGCATATAAAAATTAACGGAGACACCAGAAGTCTTTATCAAGGTATAAGTATACGGTATGCGTATACTACGAATGTTATAATGCTTCAAACATTTTTACTCTCTGAAATATTGGACTACAATATGGTCGAGCCATATTATTTGGGGTGTGGGCTTCATCTTCCCTCTACCCTATAGAACGAATATAATTATTTTACATAAATGATATTCTAAAAAATTCCTATATAAAAAAAATTGTGTCTGCTAAAATCTCTTGGATGTTATTTAGGAGAGATAACATAACCAAGGTCAAGGTTGTCGGAGCTGCTCCCCTAAATGTAAAGTTTACCCTTCGTGCAATTCAAATACCGTGTTATTTAAGAAATGCGTGTAACAACATTGTATATCTTACAGGGAAAAGCGAAAGAATCTAATCAATATTTTTTTATATAACCCCAAGTACGATACATGCAATTTGTCCTTTACATTAGTTTTCGAAAGATTGCATTTGTTGTAGTCAACCTTTATTTTCCGCTCTTCTAATCATTTGTCCAGAAAACGATTTTGCAAGATCCTGACGGCTTTTAGGGATCTTTATGTATTGAAATTATCCCGGTGTTATCTGCTTGTACTATTTGGGGTTGTTCGGATATTAACTGCATAGAAGGTGTAAAGTACTGTGCTCAATACCTAATAAATACATAATAATAAATGCAAAATGTGAGTTGTGTAATATGGAACATTACATTATTAGTCATGCACTACAGTTGCTTTTATGCAACAGGTATATACGTACAACAGTTCAACAAAATTTCTAGTTGTTATTTATATTTATAAGTATTTCATGCGTTACGAAAACACTCTTGATATCAAATAAGATATAGGAAGGTGATTTTACACCGATTTGACTACGTTGAAGACTTATGTTTACTAAATATTATTAGCTTCTCCAGATTCTTTAAGCAAATGTTTTTTGCCTACACATACAAAATATCCCATAACTGGTCTTACAATCAGAAAAGAGACGATTTTTAAAAATCTATGGTGAAAATATGGAAGAAAATATTTTATATCTGAAACTTTTTTTTAAATCAATTTTTTCAAATTTTTTTAAATATTTGTGAGATTTGTTTGGGATAAAGAAAATTATTTGAACAATTATTTCATTAATTCAACAATGAATTTTATATATTAATAAATAAATAATAATTTTGATAAACACTAACAAACTATTCTTTGTTAATAGAGCATCAACAATTTATAAAGAATATTGGCTGATGTTAAACTGATGTTATCATTATTAATAAATATATTTATTAAGTTATTACATCCATTAATTATTAAATAATGAAGAAGTTGTTACAAAAGTTTTTTTCTTTACTACAAACAAATGTTTTTGTGAATATTTTGATAAAGTTTTAAATTGTTTATGAAATTTCAATTTAATAAAAAATTGATTTTATTCAAAATTTATTTATGTTTTGTCATAATTAATATGCGGAAGGAAACTTAATTTCTTTTACACTAATTATTGTGAGTAATAAGTAATCTTTCTATTAAAAGAAAGAAATAGGAACATTGTAAAATGTTATCAGTATGTTTTCCATTTTGTGCTATGCATGACACGAAAGTAAGAAACGCAACCTAATATTTGCTGTTTTCAACTGCTATATTTATCTTGTATCCTCAGTAATTACCGTTGGATTATTATTTATACTTCTGTAACGTCCCCGGGTACATCATCCAGCCGATAAATAGAGAAGCAGTTTAATTCTATCTTTTTCTATTATATTAGGTCATTAAGTATGAAACGTCCGATTTGAGACCGAAAGTTTGGTTTATTACATCTCGGGCAAGAAATAATATAATTAATCAAAATATGCACCTAAACTATCAATACAATGTTGCCATTTTAACGATAGCTTATTAATACCGCTAGCGAAAAAATCTGGAGAGCAGCTGGTGATAAAATCCCGAAAGGCTTCTTCCACCGCATGTTGGGAATTAAATATTTTTCCTTGCAAAAAATTGTCCAAAGCTCGGAAAAGATGATAATCGGTTGGTG